GTAATCTGTCTATGGCATTTATAGCATGACTGGATGCCATGGTGCATTCATCAATAATGAGAAGTTGGGCCTTTTTAATAGTTTTAGCAACTTCACTGTTTATATCGAGTCTAGAAATTGAAGTTTCATTTAATGGAATCGGTAATTTATATTGGAAATGAAAGGTGCTTCTACCGAGAAGTAAATTTGTAGCAATTCCTGTAGACGCTGTGGGTAAAACTACCACCACGACCTCTAATATAATGTATTAAAACTTTATAAAGATATGCCTCCACGCTCCAAGGGCCGGTTCCTGCCTCAAACCTCACCCTTACTTGAAACAGCTCGGGGAGGGTGCAGCTGTTGCTAAGAGGACCCAGGACTCAGTGGGTCCACTCTCCGAGGGCCGGTTCCTGCCTCAAACCTCACCCTTACTGGAAACAGCTCTGGGAAACAGCTCGGGGAGGGCACAGCCGTTGCCAAGACAACCCCTGCAGGACTGACTTCCTTCAGGTTGGTCGAGCCTGGGTCGTGACGTTACACCCAGGGTTTTTATATAAATAGATACTTCTAAAACTCACGTTCCTTTCCAGTCAATACCACCTTACCAGAGTTAACAACTATTTTGACTTTTATCTCTATTGATTGTTATTTTCTGTTCTTGAACTTCATTACTAGTACACAGATATATAATCAACTTTGAATGGTGACCTTGTATCCTATTACTTGCTAAAATCATTTATTAGTTCCACTAACTTCTTGTAGATTCTTTGGAATTGTCTACATACAATCATGTCATCTGCATGCAAATAGAGATAGTTTTATTTCTTCTTTATCACTCCACAAGTATACCTCATTTTATTGCGCTTTGCTTTAATAAGTGCAAACCAATTAATGTAATACATCATATCAAGAAACTAAATGATGATCTCAATAGTCAGAAAAGCATTTGACAAAATCCAACACCGTTTCCTGATAAAAACAATGAACAAACCAGGAATAGAAGAGAACGTCCTCAACATGATAAAGGGCACTTGAAAAACACACAGCTAACAACATACTTAATGGTGAAATACTAGATTCTTTCTCTTTAAGATTAAGAACAAGACAAGGATGCCTACTTTTACCACTGCTATTAAACATTGTTCTAGAAGTTCTAGCTAAAGAAATTAGGCAAGAAAAAGAAACAAAAGACATCAAGACTGGAAAAGAAGTACCGAAACCATCTCTATTTATACACAATGCGATCTTGTAAATAGATCCCTAGGGAATCCAGTAAAATACCAATAAAACTAATGAACAAGTTTAACAAGACTAGAATACAAAAATCAATCCTATTCCTATACAATAGCAATAAACATATGGAAAATAAGATTAAGAAAACAATTCCATTGACAATAGCATCAAAGAGAATAAATTAAATAAAAGAAGTGCAAGACTTGTACATTGCAATTTAAAAGATGTAAATAAATGGGAAAATATTCCTCACTTAAGGACTGGAGACTTAACATTGTTAAAATGGCACTACTTTCCAAAATAATCTAGCTTTTTTTCTTTTTTCAGAAAATGACAGGCTGATCCTAACATTCACATGGAAATTTAAGGGTCCCAGAATAGCCAAAACAACCTTGAAAAGGAAGAGCAAATTTGGAGAATTAACACTCCTGATTTCAAAACTTAATACAAAGCAATTATAATCAAGACACTGTGATACTGGTAAAAGGACAAACATATAGATCAGTGGTATAGAATTGACACTCCAGAAATAAAACCATGTGTCTATGGTCAACTCATTTTCCACAAGGAGGCAAAAACCCATGTGATGGGGAAATAATAGTTTTGTGTTTTGTTTTATTTTAAAATAAGTGGTTCTGGGACAACTGGATAGCCACATGGAAAAGAATGAAGCTCAGACCCTTACCTCAAACCACATATAAAAATTAACCCAAAATGGATTAAAGATCTAAATGTAAGAGCAAAAACTATAAAACTCTTCAGAAGAAAACACAGGAGTAAACACTCATGACTTTGGATTTGGCACTTTATTCTTAGATATAATACCAAAATCATGAGCAACTAAAGAAAAATAAATGGGACTTAATTGAAGTTAAAAAATTGTGCTTCAAAGGATGCTGTCAAGAAAGGGAAAAGACAACCCAAAGAATGGGAGAAAATACTTGCAAGTCCTATATCTGATCAGAAAACTTGTATCTAGAATATAATAAGGACTCGTATGACTTAATAATAAGATGACAATAACCCAATTAAAAATTGGGAAAAGGGCCCAGCTGGCATGGCTCAGTGGTTGAGCGTTGACCTATGAACCAAGAGGTCATGGTTTGAATCCCAGTCAGTGCACATGCCTGGGTTGCAGGCTTGATCCCCAGAGGAGGTTGTGCAGGAGGCAGCCAATCAATGATGCTCTCATTATTGATGTTTCTATCTCTCTCTCCCTTCTTCTCTGAAATCAATAAAAGTATACTAGTATATTTTGTAAAAATTTGAAAAAGGGTCTGAATAGTCATTTCTCCAAAGAAGATACACAAATGGCCAATAACCATATG